ATATATATATATATATATATATATATATATATATATATATATATATACACCACATTTTCTTTATCCATCCATCCATTGGTGGACACTGACATTGTTCCCATATCTTGGCTATTGTAAATAATGTTGCAATGAACATGGATGGGTACAGGTATCTCTTTGAGATAGTGGTTTTCTTTCCTTCTTATAACTACCCAGAAATGAAATTGCTGGATCATATGGTAGTTCTATTTTTAATTTAATTTTCAGGGGAAACTCCATACTGTTTTCCATAGCGGCTGCATCAATTTACGTTCCCAAAAATGGTGCACAAGGTTCCCTTTCCTCCACATCCTAACCAACACTTGTTATTTTTTGTCCTTTTGATAACAGCCGTTCTAATAGGTGTGAGGTGTTAACTCATAGTTTTGATTTCCATTTTCCTGATGATGAATGATATTGAGCACTTTTCATGTACCTACTGGCCATCTTTATGTCTTCTTTGGAAAAATGTATATTCAGATCCTCTGCCCATTTTTATTTTTTTTTTAAGATTTTATTTATTTATTTGAGAGAGAGAGAGAATGAAAGAACACGAGAGGGGGGAGGGTCAGAGGGAGAAGCAGACTCCCTGCTGAGCAGGGAGCCAGATGTGGGGCTCGATCCTGGAACTCCAGGATCATGACCTGAGCCAAAGGCAGTCACTTAACCAACTGAGCCACCCAGGCACCCCCCTCTGCCCATTTTTAAATAAGATTGGGTTTTGTTATTGAGTTGTAGGAATTCTTTAATATTTTGGATATGAACCCTTTATGAGATATATAATTTGCAAATATTTTCTCTGATTCAGTGGGTTCCTTTTTAATTTTGTGGATAATTTCCTTTGCCATTCAGAGGCATTTTAGTTTGTCATCCCACTGGTTTGTATTTGCATTTGTTGCATTTGCTTTTGTGTCAAATCCAAAAAGTCATCACCAAGACCAATGTCAGGGAGCTTTCTTCCAGGAATTTTATGGTTTCAGGTCTTAGATTCAAGTCTTTAATCCACATTGAATTAATTTGTGTAGGGTCTGAGATAGTGGTCCAGTTTCATTCTTTCTTTCATTCTGTGTGGCTGTCAGTTTTCTCAGCATCATTTATTGACGAGACTGGTCATTCTCCATTGTATATTCTTGGCTCTTTTGTCATAAACTAATTGACCATATATGTAGTGGGTTTATTTCTTGGTTCTTTATTCAAGTCCATTGATCAGTGTGTCTATTTTTATACCAATACCATATTGTTTTAATTACTATAGTCTTGTAGTATAAGACTATATTTGAAATCAGGGAGTGTAATGCCTTTAGTTCTTCTTTCTCAAGATCTCTTTGGCTGTTCAGGGTCTAGGTTTTTTTAATATATTTTGTGTGTTTTCTAGTTAATTGATTTCTACTCTCATTTCTTTCCTTCTCATTTTAGGTTTCTTTTGCTCTTTTATCAGTCTCTTAAGATAGCATCGTTGGTCATTGTTTTGAGAATTTTCTTCTTATAAGCATTTAATGCTTATTATAAAGCTTATAAATGCTTATAAGCATTTAATACTACATTTCCTCTTAGTACTGCTATAGAAGCATCCTCTAAAATTTGATATGTTGTATTTCCATTATCATTAAGTTTGAAATGCTTTCTGCTTCACATGTGATTTCCTGTTTGACCCATGAATTGCTTAAAAGTGTGTTGTTTATTTTCCACGTTTTGAGGCTTTGTTTTTTTGGTTATTTTACTGCTCCTGATATCTAATCTAATTACACTGTGCTCAGAAAACATACTCTGCATGATTTAATCCTTTTAAATGTACTGAGTCTGGTTTTATGGAACTGCATCTGATCTATCTTGGTAAGCATCAGTGTGTCTTATTAAAGAATGTGTATTCTGTGGTTATTGAGTAGTGTTTTATAAATGTCAATTCTGTCAAGTTGGTTGATAGTGTTGTTCAGATAGTCTTTGTCCTTACTCATTTTTGTGACCTAATCATTCTACCAGTTGTTGAGATGGAGTTGTTAAAATCTCCAACCATAATTATGCAATTGTTTGTTTCTCTTTAATTCTTTTGATTTTAGCTTTATGTATTTTGAAGTTTACTGCACATTTCTGATTGTTATGTCTTCCTTATGAATCAATCCTGTTATAATTATGAAATGTCACTCTTTATCTTTGGTAATACTCTATCATAAAATCTATTTTATGTCATTTTAACATAGCAATTCCAGCTATGCTTACTATTTGCATGGTATGTCTTTTTTTTTTTCCCATCCATTTACTTTAAATATATCTGTGTCTTTGTATTTAAAGTGCATCTTTTATAGACAGCATTAGTTGGGTCTTGTTTTTTTATCCATTCTGACAGTCTTTGCCTTTTAATTGCAGTATTTAGTCCATTGACATTTAACATAATTATTAGTTACATACATAATTTTTCAATAATGTATAATGTATGTATATAATTTATCAATAACGTGTGTAATTTATACATAATTTAATTGGAATTAGACCTACATTTTTGCTATTTGTTTTGTGTTTGTTTTTTTCTGATTTTTGTTCCTCCCTTCTATGTTACTGCCTTTTTTGAGATTAAATATTCTTTAAAGAATTCTGGTTTAATTTGTCTGGAATTTTTGCTGTACCTTTTTGCATTATTTTTGTAGTGGTTGCTCTAGGGAGTATAAAATACATTCTTAAATATACAGAATCTACTTAGAATTAATATTCACATGAAATGTAGAAACTTTGCTGGGGCTCCTGGATGGTACAGTCAGTTAAGCATCTAACTCTTGGTTTCAGCTCAGATTGTGATCTCAGGGTTGTGAGATCAGGCTCCACGTTGGGCTCTGCACCCAGCATGGAATCAGCTTATGATTCTCTCTCCCTCTCCCTTTGCCCTTCCCACTCATGTTCTCTCAAATAAATAAATAAATCTTTTTTAAAAATGTAGAAACTTTGCGGGCACCTGGGTGGCTCAGATGGTTAAGCGTCTGCCTTCGGCTCAGGTCATGATCCCAGGGTCATGGGATCCCTGCTCACTGGGGAGCCTGCTTCTCCCTCTCCCACTCCCCCTGCTTGTGCTCTGTCAAATAAAGAAATAAATAAAATCTTTAAAAAAAATGTAGAGAAGTCTAAGCTGCGCCTCCCCGAGACCCCCTCGCAGGTGGAGGGACCCGGGTCGAGCCCGGGCGCTCTGTTAGCCAGAGGCAGGCGGAGGAGACCGGGTCGGCCGGGGCGAGCCGCCGAAGAGTAGCGGAGCCCGCCCTGCACGCCCGGGAGAGAAGTGGGAGGGAGGCAGAGTTACGTGAGGCAGCGCGGAGTAAGTGAGCTTGGGTCCGACTCGAGGTCGGGCTCAGGACCGAGACTGGTGGGCCAGGCCTCCGAGCCGGCGTTACACCCGCTCCGAGGAGCACTGAGCGGACACATGGCCTCGCCATTCCTGCCCGCGGGGGCCACCACGGGCGACAGCGGCGGAGAGCTGAGCTCGGGGGACGACTCCGGTGATGTGGAATCCCTCCAGAGCCCCGAGACCGAGACGTCCGGGAGCCTGACCGAGCTCTTTGAGAAGGCTGCAGCGCACCTCCAAGGCCTGGTTCAAGTGGCTAGCAGGGAGCAGCTCTTGTTACCTGTATGCCAGGTACAAGCAGGTCAAAGTTGGAAATTGTAATACTCCTAAACCAAGCTTCTTTGATTTTGAAGGAAAGCAAAAATGGGAAGCATGGAAAGCACTTGGTGATTCAAGCCCCAATCAAGCGATGCAGGAGTATATCGCAGTGGTTAAGAAATTAGATCCAGGTTGGAATCCTCAGTCACCAGAGAAGAAAGGAAAAGAAGCAAATACTGGTTTTGGTGGGCCTGTTGTTAGTTCTCTGTATCATGAAGAAATCATCAGGGAAGAAGACAAAAACATATTTGATTACTGCAGGGAAAACAACATTGACCATGTAACCAAAGTCATCAAATCGAAAAATGTGGATGTGAATATGAAAGATGAAGAGGGAAGAGCTCTACTCCATTGGGCATGTGATCGAGGACATAAGGAACTAGTTACAGTCCTGCTACAATATAGAGCTGATATTAACTGTCAGGATAATGAAGGTCAGACAGCTCTACATTATGAATCAGGGTGATTATCCAAGCTTTGTGATACCAAATCAAAAAGTTTTCCTGTACCACGTTATCAGTGGAAACAAAAGCATCCATCCTCAAAGGTACATTAATAATCAAGCCTCTTCATGGATTTTATATATACACATTGGACTTTGTCCTTATGACATATAGAGCTTTCAGGGCAGTCTGTTGTAATCATGTGATTTGAAAGTTACGATCATGATTGGAGCTTTACCATAAGCATCTTTAGTTATTTTAATAAGTATCCTTTCACAGTTCCTTCATCCAAGAGATTTTGGGCCCAAGTATAGTGCTCGTCAGACTGATAATAATAATCACCTTCCTTGTTGTACTCATCACCTAACGTTTATTATGTACCAAGCATGATCAATTTTTCAAATATGCATTAACTGACATTACACTAAAGGCCTGAACAGGAAAAAAATAAAAAATAAAAAATAAAAAATAAAAAAAATGTAGAAACTTTGCAACCATAAGGTTTTATTTACCTCTTCTCCATCCTTTATGCTATAGTTGTTCTGTGTATTATATCTATATACATTATAAACCCCATAATAATTTTTGCTTTAACAGTCATATGTTTTTTAAAGAAAATAAGAGAAAAAATAATTTATTTACTCGCATATTTACCATTTCTGATGCCCTTCATTCCTTCCTGAAGATCCTAGTTTCCATATGGTATTATTTCCATTCAATTGGTAAAACTTTTTTTAGGTTTATTTATTTATTTGAGGGGGGGGAGAGGGACAGAGAGTAAGGGAGAGAGGGTCTTAAGCAGACTCATGCTGAGCATGGAGCCTGATGCAGGGCTTGATCTCATGACCCTGAGATCACAACCTGAGCCGAAACCAAGAGCCCAATGCTTAACTGACTGTACCACCCAGGTGGCCCATAAAAACTTTCTTTAGCATTTCTTGTAGTGCACATTTGTTAGTGATGAACTAATTTATATTATTATTTTGGTAAGGAATTTCTAGATTCGATTTCTAGACGTAGATGTAAAATTTTCAGTTTTACTACTTTTGATTCCTTTTTTAAAAATTTTATTGTATTTATTTATTTATTTATATGAGAGTGAGAGAAAGAGAGAACACAAGCAGGGGGAGCAACAGGCAGAGGGAGCAACAAACTCCATGCTAAGCAAAGAGCCCGATGTGGGACTCAATCCCAGGACCCTGAGGTCATGACCTGAGCCAAAGGCAGATGCTTAACCAACTGAGCCACCCAGGCATCCCCTTCTGATTCCTTCTGATTAAAAGTCTGGCTGTTTAAATCACTTTTGCCCTATTTATATGTTATTTTCTCTCTCTGCTTTCCAGATTTTCTCTTTATAATTGGTTTCTAGAAATTTGATTACAATATGCCACAGTGTGGTTTTCTTTGTATTTATTCGTCTTGGTATTTGATGAGCTATTTGTATATATAAATTTATGATTTTTATCAAATTTGAGAAGTTTCTGGCCGTTATCTTTTTTTTTTAAGATTTTTTATTTATTTGATAGAGACACAGTGAGAGAGGGAACACAAGCAGGGGGTCGTGGGAGAGAGAGAAGCAGGCTTCCCACTGAGCAGGGAGCCTGATGCAGGGCTTGATCCCAGGACCCTGAGATCATGACCTGAGCCGAAGGCAGACACTTAATGACTGAGCCACCCAGGCACCTCCTGACCATTATGTCTTAACATTTTTTTTTCCTTAAGATTTTCTTTATTTTTTGACAGAGAGAGAGAGACAGGGAGAGTTGGAACACAAGCAGGGGGAGTGGGAGAGGGAGAAGCAAGTTTCCCGCTGAGCAGGGAGCGCAATGCGGGGCTCAATCCCAGGACCCTGGGATCATGACCAGAGCCGAAGGCAGACGCTTAACAACTGAACCACCCAGGCGCCCCATGTCTTTAACATTTTTTTTTTTTTTGGCTCCATTCTCTCTTACCTCTCTCTGACACTCCAGTAACACAAATGTTAAGACCATATGTGATACTGCATCACAAATCTCTAAAGCTCTATTATTTTTTTTCAATCTCTTTTCCTCTCTGCTGTTCAAGCTGTGTAGTTTTTGTTGATTTATCTTCATATTCACTGACTTTTTCTTTGGTCAGTTCTGCTATTAAGCTAATCTAGTAAATTTTTTTTTAAAGATTTTATTTATTTATTTGAGAGAGAGAGAAAGGTCAGAGGGAGAAGCAGACTCCCCGCTGAGCAGGGAGCCCGATGTGGGACTCGATCCCGGGACTCCAGGATCATGACCTGAGCCGAAGGCAGTCGCTTAACCAACTGAGCCACCCAGGCGCCCTAATCTAGTAAATTTTTATTTCAGATACTGCATTTTTCAGTTCTTGAACATCCATTTCATTTTTTATATAGTTTTCTTTCTCATCTGAAATACCCTATCTTTTCCTTATTCACAAGTATATATTATACTCTTGAACATTATTATTTAACTGTTTTAAAATTCTTGTTTATTAATTTCCAATATCTAGGTCATCTTGGGATTGATCTCCATTAATTGCCTTTTTCTCTTGATGATGACCCAAGTTTTCCCATTTCTTCATATGTTAAGTAATTTTGGATTTTTGTCTAGATATTATAAATGACATGTTATTGACTTTAGATCTTGTTATATTCATCTGAAGAGTATTAGCGTTTTGTTTTAGCAGGCAATTAGCTCGACTGGATTTGGCTAGAGTTTATATATGGAATGTGGGGCTCCCCCTCTTTGGCTTTCTTCTTTTCAGGGTTTCCCCCTCACTTTCCAGTGGTTGTAGTTGCTCCAAATTCTGTCCTTATGGTTTTTCAAGCCAGAGAAACTGAGAGCACCAACCCTTCTGATGCAGACTGGGGACTTCCTTCACCTCTGAGAAACCAAATAGCCATACTCCCAGTACAGATACTAAACTCTAGATTTGAATTTAGAGCAGATGGGTCCTGGGGGCACCTGGGTGGCTTAGCTGGTTAAGCATCTGACTTCAGCTCAGGTTATGATCTTGGAGTCCTGGGATTGAGCCCCGCATCGGTCTCCCTGCTCAGCGAGAGCCTGCTGTCCCTCTGCCCCTCCCCCCTGCTTGCACCTGCATTCTCTCCCTCTCAAGTGAATAGAGCAGATGGGTCTTATTTCTGTCTTTGATGCTGACATGCAGAATGACCTGGGGCAGTCACTTCACCATTCCATTCACTTGTTAGAGAAAGGAGTGCTATTTCATCTGATGTGATCCCTTGATACCTGGCCACCTTAAACTGATATAACTTCTAATATTGATCACAAGGAAGCTTGATGTAAAAACTCTTCTAGACCAAAAGCAAAAAAATAATTATAAGGTAGTTCATGTGCAAATGGCTCTCTTTATTCTTGGGAAATATAAGAATTTATTAAGTTGAAAGTGCTCTAGGCTGGGGCACCTGGGTGGCTCAGTCATTAAGCGTCTGCCTTCAGCTCAGGTCATGATCCCGGGGTCCTGGGATTGAGCCCTGCGTCGGGCTCCTTGCTCAGCGGGGAGCCTGCTTCTCCCTCTCCCACTCCCCCTGCTTGTGTTCCCTCTCTCCCTGTGTCTCTCTCTCTCTGTCAAATAAATAAATAAAATCTTGAAAAAAAAAAAAAAAGAAAGTGCTCTAGGCTTCCAAACATTCAAACTTTGCGCTTACTTCCCGGGTAAACAGATATTTTCTTGACAGTGTATTCATCAAGCTTATAAAAAAAGTTAAACAGAAGCAAGAAGAGGACCTCACATATTTCAAAGTTAATGTTGCATGAAGCAACCTAATAGCTAATATCACTGTTTGATTCATCTTTTTCTAAAATCACTTTGATCATGCATAAACACATTACTAAAAGGCATTATTAATCTATTGTTAATACTCTGTGTGAGTTTTCTCTGACCTTTCTTTCACACAGATTCTTTCTCTTACCCATTTCCTTCCAGATCAAAGCAAAAGATCATAGCAAAAGATAGTTTAAAAAAAAAAAAAAACAAACCTTGTAACTGTTTGGGCTCTGTTCACCCAATGCCATGACAGAAATGGTTTTTTTTTTAGTATGAAAGTATGAGAAATAATAACTCATTTGTGAGACAGAAGAAGAATGAAATTTGATTTCAGGGATCATGTTTTACATTTCTTTTGACTTCCTCCACAGCATATAGCATATAGTAAGCATTCACATGACTAGTTGATGTTTTGATTGATTCTCATGTTATGCCCTTAACAAATTATAATATAAAATATTATATTAAATATAATATTTTATATTATATATATTTAAATATATTTAAATATAAAATAAAAATATTTTTAAAAAATATTGGGGTGCCTGGGTGGCTCCTCGGTTAAGTGCGTCTGAATCGTAATCCTGGGTCTCAGGGTCGAACCCCGTGTCAGGGTCCCTGCTCAGCAGGGAGCCTGCTTCTCCCTCAGCCTCTGCCTCCTCCCCACTCGTGCAAGTGCTGTCTCTCTTTCTTTCAAATAAATAAATAAAATCTTTAAAAAACAAGAAAAAAATTTCCCAACTGAGAAATTCTGAGAAAACATTTTCTCACACACACACACACACACACACACACACACACACACACACACACAAAATCTAGTGATATGTGCTTTTTTAAAAGCTTTTAAAGAGTGCTTATTATAAATAGTAGTTTATATATAAATGGGTAGTATTTAGACTATGCATTTAATCACTAATGAAGACGATATAGCATTAGTTAGTTAATTTTCCCTAAACCCTTTTTCCCAGTCACTTACACACACACATTCCCAGCACCACACTCTTGAAGCTAACACACAGTTTCCACCATAGGAAGGATATAAGCTGCAATATTTATAGCTACAGGCAAAATTTAAATCATGGCAGGTTCTCGATACTGGTTCACTGCTATTGGAAATTCTTCAGTACTCACAATGAAGCAGATAAAATGAATTGTGTATTACCTTCAAAACAACAACAAAAAATGTTCTGATTATCCCGTATTCAATTTAAAGTCTAAAAATCTTCAACCTAAAGAATTAAAA